GCATTCCTGTGCTGAAATTACAGAATCTATTTGGAGTGGCCGCAGGCCAAAAACTTAATATACCAGTTATGAAATTGAAGCAGGTGCCATAAATCCCTGCTGCTAATGATCTTTTGATATAAAAGATTAACACACAGTCAGCTTTGACTACAATGACTTAACTGTTCTTGAAAGTAATTTCCATAGGAGTTACAGGAAGAAGGTTGCTTTTACTGCATCAGTACATGAGAAACAGCTTTGTGGCATGGACAGAGCCAAATTTGGTATCTGCAAAGCTAAGTAAAAGAGGAAGAGCAAAACAAGTATTATCTGAGCTTCTTTGTAGATTCATATAATGCAGACATGTTGCTTCGGGTACAAATTTGCACTTCGTTGCCAAAAGAGTGTAGAATTTAACAAAGTACAGTAATTCTGATTCCTTCTTGTATCTGCAACAACAGGCATTTTAAGTGAATTTTTGTGCAAAAGTAAGCAAGGGGACCAATTCTGGATTTTAGTTATATTGATTACACTGCTCACTCCACTGGAGCTGAGGGCATGATATACCTGCTGTGTAGGGACCTGTGAGAATTTATTTCAAACCATAATTTTGAGAAATGGCTTTTTCTAATGTAGATTTCTCTTGACACAGCATTCAATAAGAGCCTTGGCACTGCGAGTCCTGAGAGAGATCTTACGGAACCAGCCGGCAAGGTTTAAGAACTATGCGGAGTTGACTATCATGAAAACACTGGAAGCACATAAGGATTCCCACAAGGAGGTGAGTGAGCCTTTCAGTGTTGCTACTGAAGTGTGGAAACTTAACAGGCAAACACGTTGACCCGTCTTTTTGTAGAACGAATTGATATTAAGTCTCACAAGTATGCGGAGACAGGATTTCTACGTGCTGAAGCAGCAGAGAGGAAAAAAGTTAGGGCTGACGGAGCTGAACTTGGAGCTATCTGGAACTGTAGGCTACTGTTTATCAGCTTCTCAGGATCTCCTCACTTGGTCTGGGAGAGGCTGAGACCCTGTTATGGAGGGAGAACATAAAGCCTGTGTTCGAGCAGAACTGTATATGAAAACCGAGTGGTGAAATTGGGCCTTGCTGGAGAACTGAGAACTGTGGTGAGTAACAGCAGAAAAACAGACAAAGAGGCCATGCTGCTGGAAAGAGTTTGGGGCAGAGGAAGAAGCAAGGGGAAGGGTGAATTGTGTTTTCCTTGTATGAGAGAAATAGTATGTAAAACTGAAAGTATTCTTCTGGAGTAAAACAAAAATAAGGGACATGATGCTGGCATTTGAAGTAGATCAATTCAAATTACATTTAAAGTCAATCTTTGTAGTTTGACTTCCAGGCTGGATCTTTTAATCTACCTTGTGCATGTTGCAAGTTTGAACTAAACCTTGGAAAGTGCCACAGGAATTTCTCTATATGTCTGCAGTGGCTTTGTTACCAAAGTCTTCGACACTTATTCTTCTCTGTAACAGACTTGTCCTAAACTAGCAATTTTAGGCATCTCCATCTGGAGAGCTTTGGCCATGAAAAAGATCATTGTATAGATCAGACTGCTCCACTGTGTAACTGGCACAAGGTTACGTTAGCTATGTGTAGCAGAAACTGTGCTGTTTAAAAATCAAAACAACAAAACGAACACCCCCAGGGAAGGAAACTAACAGGCTGAGTTTCTCTAAAATGTGGAAGTTTACCCTTTAGTGACTGAGGACTGCTGTACACTTGCCTGCCTTTCTCTCCTTGATTTAGAGCCTTTGCACTCCTGTCATCTTCAGTTCAGAGTAATAAGAAGCAGTTGTAAATTAATTTCCTGATAAAACAGTCAGACAAAACATTATGTTCTGAAGGAGTGCCTTTTATTGGCGAGTTTTCCTGGCTGCATACTTCTCAGCTCACCTTGACTCAGTGCCCTTGGTATTTTTTTCTGAGTCCTCCAAAACTGCTGTTTCTTGCAGTCCTCCAAAAATGCCATTTCTCGCAAGACCTTTCCAGATTCTCTCTGGTGGTTTTTTTTTTAACGCCCCTCAGAATTCAGTGTCCTAGTGGGACTGGTGACTTTTGTAGAAATCGAGAACAACGTTGAAAGCATGATGCTTTATCCGTCTGTACTCCCCATGCTGTGTTCTTCATGCTTATGGTATGGAAAGGTTCTTCAGGATTTGCATGAGGTGCCTCCTGAGGAAAATCAATGAAGAGTTAAGTCTGCTATAGAGAAAGCAAAGCTCAAGCCAGGACAAAGAGGTGTGAGTTCTGGCACTTCTTTATAGAAGAATAGTAGAGCTGTATTGCTATCAGCAAGTAGCTGCTCTACATAGCATGCCTTTGATTTACAATGGCTTTGCATAGCATCTTCATAATTAAAAAAGATCACATTTGCAACTGCTGCAGTGAGAGCTTGGGATGACATCTGTCATAGCAGGGTGCTGCAGATATTTTCCTATTTTAGTATCCGTTGCTAAAGAGTTGTGGGTGCACAGCTGTATTAAGCAGTGGCACTGGTGCTGGGTTTTTCATTCTGTGTATATTTTTTCCTGTTCTTTGTGTAAATAGGACTCTCAGAACCATGATGCAGCCCATGAGAGGCATCACATATCTGTCAGTAGTTGAGAATATCAGCATTCATGAAGTTAAGAAAAGTTTCCCAACCTGCTTGGGTGTCTAAATGAGCCGGGCTAAAGATATACCTGGGAATGTAGTTTAGGTATTTTTACCTGTAGCTGGGACTTACTGATTCAGTTAAGTCTGTGAAAAATTAACTGAGAGTCCATTTGGGCATGGCTCAGTTGGTCAAACTCATAGCCCTGGGCTAGAGGGTCACAAGTTCCCATCCTGTGGTGGTCCTCCAGCTGTCTCTCCCTGCTGGCTCCTCAGGAGTTACTGCTTTCCCCAGGAGGGGTGGAGGAGCTGCCCTTTGGTTTGATCCCACTGAGCAGAAGATTAAGTGGAAATGTACTGGTTTGTGATTGAAGGGCACTTTCAAAGAATAGCTGAAGCAGGAAAGGGAAGATCTGAGCAGTCTGTTCTACAGTGTTCTTTTTCGCTAGATCAGAGCAATTTTAATGGCAGTGGTGTACTGTCCTTAAACTATGTGAAATAAAATCTTTCACTAGACTCTAAAAACTATTTCAAGGAAAGCTGCTATATAATTTGGTTAGGAAAGCGTTAATCTTTGTGCCAGTTAAGCCCTGATAGATGTCACTCAAGGGTTGGTTATATTTCTGAGCTGCTTCTGCCTTGCAATAGAAGACTGGAGCGATCCTGGTTCATGGTTTGAGATCTGTTGGTGTGCAAGAGGCTGTGTAAATTAGCAGAAAACTACTGTTTTGAGCAAGCTGTATCTATTTAAGTCTTTCTTACCCGAATTTCCTCTTTGGCAAAGGGACTATTCATTGCCCCAAGTAATTGTGTGCATTTTCCATTACGTATGACCCATGGAGAATCAATCTAAAGTGCCCAAGCAAAGCACAGTACAGAGCTAGTCTCAGGCACTGCCTCCAAGAAGTCATTGTATTAAAAGGCAGTTCTTTGCAAACTGAGAAGATTCATTTGTCTACCCAAATTCCAGCATGGCAGGGAGGGGTCAAATAACAAATTATAACCAACAGATTCACCAACCAGCAAATACCACCCGCTCCTCCTGAGTGCCGACATCTAGTTAAAGATTGTTTGAAACAAAAAGTCTGTGGTTATATTCGAGATTATCTAATGGGAAGTATCAAAGCGGTATTTGCATAATTAGATATTTTGGCACGTCTGGGCAATTGGCTGCTTTTCCAAGTCTAAGCAGAAGTCTTTGGACAGTTGGAACATTGCCATGACTAGATCTCTTTTGCCTTTTGTTGCTGAAGGCAAGGTCTAGGATTGGCAGAAGAGCACAGCTTTGAGCACCATTTCTCTTCCCAGGGACACAGTAGAGGAAGACTTGGTACATGGGGGTTGGATGCTGAGTCACGCCTTGTTGTGAGTGCAAATGCAGGGGATTGGCAAAGCACAGACCTCAGTGGGGCTTCAGAATTAATGTAACCCTACAGACTAGAAGACTCTAGGTTGGGATCCATGTTTAGTTTGCATGTTTTTTTTAATTTTGCCCTGTTTTCATACTGTTTGTAGTATAAAACTCTGCTCAATGCTGTTGATTTAATGGGGTGATGTGAAGAGTCAAGCCTACTTCAGTCATAACTGTAAATATTTATGGGGGTTGACATGTAAATGCCTTTCACTTACTTTTGGAGCATTAGAACGTAATTGAAATTGTGGACAGTACTAAATCTTGTTGATTTTTATCACTCTTTGTTTGGAGTTACTTGGAAGAGAACCATCTTTCTCTTGCCAATTAGTTAATATTAACCCATTTGTTCCAGTGTAGTTACTCACCCAGAACTAAGGAGAGATGGTGCCTGCTGACCCAATACCATTGATATGACATTGCTTCAGATTCGTACCAGCAAAGTGATTATAAATTCTTATTATTGAGTACATTTAAACAGAAATAGTTCATTAGTTTGGGAGAAGGTTGCAAAGTGAAAATCATAAGATAGTTGATTCCCTGCTTCTGTCTCTGCCACTCTGTTTTTCTCTGCACCTAAGCCTATAGACCTAGATGAATGCATATTTTTCTATGTGTGAGGAAAGGATATTGTGCCATGTCTTAGATACCTAATTTTGGTATTTTATTATCCAGGAGGTCCACAAGTGTAACTGGGATGGAACATTCTTTGTTGTAGATGAAAAGGTAGAAGTCACAACTGTGAGTTAGCTGTATGTAATTGTTACTGTCTTGCTGAGGTGCTTTTAGAGTGGCTTCTGACATTTATAAGACAATTTGCAACTGTCCTCTAATGATGGTATGATCTAGGTAGGTTCCTGCAAATTGTCGCTTTCTAAGAAGAAAAACACTAAAAGATCACAATCTTGAAGGTTGATTGTTATTTATAGTCAATGCTGGAAGCTGCCAAGTGCTGCATCTTGGCATCTGTTGATGTCTCATAGTATATGCTTATGTGCTTGTTTTCTAATTCTCAGCACATTTCAAATACTTAGTATACAGGAGAAGTAGTCTAATCTACTTCATCTCCTCTGAATCTCTTATAAAAATCACATTGTTTTTTCATCTGCTTAGCACTCCCCTTTGCTGAGTTCACTTCCTGTGTTAAAACCAAGTTCTTAATTGTTTTTCTGTCCAGATCAGACTGTAAAGCCTTCAGGGATGGGAGTTTGCCTGACTAGGCATTGGTAAACCTCTATCCCCTCCAGCTTAGGTTATGCAGGCTTGAAGTAACCAATTCTAGACGGCAAGAATTGTCCTAAACACAGCCGCATGCCTTGTAAGCCTGAAAGCAAAACCTTGTTCTTCTGCTTAATAAACTTACTTGGTGTTCCGGGTGTTTCACAACAGCATACAAAGCCTCTAGGTTTTCCAGTGGGGTTCTACCTGTGCTGCCTCACCCTGAACGACTTTCTGCAAAGTCGGTGCCTCTGGCAATGGTGTCAAAGTGTTCCAGTTCACGGTCATATGTACAGCTCTCATCTAGGTGTAGAGCTGCTGCTCTACTGAGATCCCAGCGTGAGACACTGGTGTCTTACGTAGCCTATGAACCTGGCATGTTCTGCCTTAAGTGAGTTGGGACATATATTGTTTCTTTCCTTATTTGCCAGTAGTTTGTGTCACTTCAAAGCAGAATTGAAACCATCCAAACCCTTTAGAAAGCTGCTGCATATTGACCAAGAGCAGGTTACCACATATGAGCTGCTTGCTGCAGCCATCAAGCCATCAGTAATGTGCGGAAAGCAGTAGCTAAGCAGAAGAAATAATGCGGAAGAGATGGAGTCTTGCTTCTGGCTGTCTTAAGTGAACAGGATCCCATGGCTGCAGTGCGTTATGAACCAGGTAAACCAGTGGGAACTGCCATCCAAAGTTTGCCCAGCAGAATTTGTAGAATGTTGATGATGCAAATGGGCTTTTATATTAAAAAAAAGGGTGACTATCTTGATCACGCTGTTACTAATACTGCACATCAGCACATCCCCTGCTATTGAAATCAGAAAGTGCTTCATGTGCATATTCCTGGGACTGCCTAACCTGTTACTTTGAAGCTTAGTCCCTTATAGCATTAAGGAAGATATTGTCAGAGTTGAACAACTTCCTGGTCTAGTGGAAGGTCTCCCTGGCCATGGCAGGGGGGTTGGAACTAAATGATCTTTAAGGTCCCTTCCAAACCAAACCATTCTATGTGAATATGGTTCCTTCCTTAAAGCAAACTGGGTGGGAGTGTAACCATTTCTCGCTTTTGGGAAACTCACTGGAGAGGTCTTAATGCACCACAGTTGTCTTTCAAGGAACTCACAAGCAAACATAGCTTATGTTATGCCAGCAGACGTCAGGCTGAATCTAGACTCTGGCGTGCAGAGCATAAGGTAAGCATTTGGAAAGAAGAAAAACCTGCTTCTTTTAAGGCAGAGTGCTATCTTCTAGATCTGCATTCTTGAGTTACTTGCCCCGTGTTGAATGATACTGAACTTTCCATTTCAAGCTATGGTTTGCTCTAAGCTTTTACTGGGAGGATTGAATCATATTTGTGACATACCTTACACACAGCTCGGTGTCAGTGTTATATTAAAACACTGCAGGGGCTCTCTTTAGTCTTGCACTCTTGCTTCATAGCCACTCTTTTGGACTCCTGGGTACCATCATCGTTTGACAACTTTGCTAGTTTTCTCTCATATTTCTGAGATCACTGAGAATGATTATATATTAGGTCAGACAAAATACTTGCTTTACTTCAAACCATACTTGAGAGTGACTAACAAGAAGCAGGCATCCGGTGATGCTTCCCTGGGGACATCTTCCTGCCTTCCAGTGGTCTGAAGCTTGCAGCCTTCACATGGTTCTGCCTGCCTCCCTGTGTATTTTGGCTTTTTTTCTTCAGTAAACTGGGCTAATTTTTAATCCTCTTGTGACAGTGAGCTACCCAGTGTGAGCATGTAGCGAACAGCACGCTTTCTTTTTCTCGAGTTTAAAAGATCTATTTCATAGCCACTGCTTCTGGTGATACCTGCTGTTAGTGTGAGCCATTCCTGTCACTTCCCACTTTGTATCTGTTGGTATTACCTCTGAAGATGGGAGGAAGACCTGTTGGCTTGATGCCCTTTGCTTATTTCTCCCATTCCTTTTGAAGTTGTTTCAGTCTGCTCGTCAGGTTATAGCCCTAATTAAAAAAGATGTGTGATTTTTTGATATTGTATGGCATGTATAATTTGCAAGACACAAGTGTTGTGCCTCATGGCAAAATATCTTTGCTAAACTCTGTTATAATGGCATGTTCGCGTTTGCCAGGTGACCTGGCAGTTTGCACCTTTTGATAGCGCCCTTCCCTCTGTGTGAGAATGCTGCTGATTTCTCTGGCGTTACCAGGTGAGCACAACTGCGAGTGCTCTGTGTGAGTATTCGGTGCTTTCCCTTGTGGGATGTGGAGTCAGTCTGCGTGGGTGAGTGGTTTGTTCTGCCAAAGCCAGGAGGAAAGACCTTTAGGACAGGGCTGGTACTTGCATTGCAGAGTGGTGTCATTCGGCCTTCTCTGCTGGCAGGGATGAGTTTGTCTTTTTGGCTCACGCCCAGCTGTTGTTGCCCTACCCCTTCCTACACCCTGTCCCCTGCCAGTCTTTTCAAGGGAGCTGGGAGACAGTTACCTGCAGAGACTCCGATTCCAGCAAGCATGTAAGCACATGCTTGAATCCCGTGGATGTCAGTGAGACTTCAGCACATTATTAAACATATGCTTAAGGGGTTTGCTGAAGTGTGGCTTAGATGCAGATGCTGTCTGCCAGATGTGCTCTCGGAAGACTTGGAAGTCTCCCTGGTGTTGTCACATTTACAAGTTAATATCAGCGGGAAGCTTACTGGACACGTGTAATACGTCCTTCTGTATTCAGAGGGAAGGCCCTTCAGGGAGAAGGGATGTGAAATACGTGACCGCTCTGTAAATGCGGCCAGGTCCTTGTGAGAAAGGGGCACTTTTGCTGAAAGGACTTGCAGGGGCATAAATCCTGCACCTTCACAACTTTTCTTACTGACCTTATGATGTGCGAAATAATGTGACCTTTGTTGCTCTTTGAACCTTCGCTTGTTTTGTGAAAAATTACAGCTGTATTTTAACCCCTTGTGCTTGGAATTGGTTAATAGGCTTTCACAGAAAGGCTTTGTCTCGTGCACTTGCCTCATACCTGCAACTTAACGTGCATGGTCAACTGTAAGCAAACAGGATGTGGAGCTGAAACCCACATAGAATGACTCACTGAAATTTTTACCTACTCCTCTACTGTTCGGAGTTTGTATGTTTGAGATCAGAGTCTGTCCATAGGCACATACTAAAATATCATTGCTTTCTTATCAAGTAGGATGCCAAAAGTATTGAAGGTTTTTTAAAAAAAATGTTTCAGTGAGTTGTGATGTATGTGCAAGCTTTTCTTTCTCAGAGCGTCTGAAAACATTTACTAACAGTATTGGGAGTTGTTGCAAAGCAAAATCCCAAGTGGCCTGTGTCCAGATAGTTATATTTGAGATTATTTTTGCAGCTAGTGACATACTCGTGAATGTTGTTAAATTGATTACAAATTATCTGGGCTCTCTGTAAGTCCACTGCATTGTTTGTGGAAAGCTTGATGGTGATTTCAGCACTGGGAAAGCAGATGTCAAAAAGCTGCAGTGCCAAGAGGTGAATTCCTTTAAAGGAGACCTCCTGGGAGCTCCTGACTTACCTGCTGCAGCAATTCAACCCTGTGGTACCAACGTATGGCTTTAGGATTCCCTCAAGTGCTTGGGTCTTTCTCTCCTTTCCTGATAAAAGCACATAGTGCCTGCTTCTATGCTAGTACTACCTTATGTGGAAAAATACTTTCATGCTTCTCCTGTGAAACTGAAGAGGAATTAGCAAAAAAAAAACAGCTGGAAAAGGGAAGACATGCTGGAAGTGGGAAAACAAGCATTCTGTTCTGCTTAATTACTCATTCACAGATCTTTCAGGGTGAAATTGTTATTAACATTGACCACATTGTGAATTGCTCTTCTTTTTGGAATATGTTTTAATATTATAATTAAATGCTGAAAAAGGCATGAAGTAGATGGAGCAGTCTTGCACATCTTTTTCTGTAAATAGGGCTCTGATACGGAAGTAGTCAAGGTCTCGGGTCTGCTTTTTACCATCTTGCTTGTACCTTGCCTGCAGGCAATGTTTGTTCTGTGTGAAGTATCTGAGATCACGTTCGCTGTTGGGTTTGCTTTGGAGGATGCCAAGAGCCAAGTGGATGAGGTTTGTTAGTTCATGCATTATCCACAGTAGTTACTTATAAACAGTGGAAGCTCACCTTATTTTTGAGGCTTTGATGGAGCTGCTTCTGTCCATGGGCTGCCTTAGTCAAGTAGAAATCCCCAAGTTTGATACCGTGAACATGTAAAAGAGGGGAACAAAGAGAATCCAGATGGCGCTTCAGTCTTGGCGATGGGAGATTTGCTTAATTTTTTGTAGATTGTCTGGAACAGATTTCCTAGTGCAAAGACAACCCCAGGTAGTGCAGTCTTAGCTTGGGCACCACTGCACTCGGGCTGATGAGATGCATACTGAAAGGGCCAATGGTCATTCATTTTCCCCAACATTGGACATTTTTACGATTCAGCTGGTCAGGGTGCTGGGCCATCTTGTCTAGACCATGCTTTTGCCAAGAAAGGCTGGACTAGGTGATTCTTGAGGGTCCCTTCCGACCTGGTGTTCTATGATTATAAAGTTTAAGGAGATAAATTTTGTATTAAGTCTAAGCTAGTGGGTTTAGATTCTTTGACAGTGGCTGGGGAGATGTCATCCTCTCGCTTCTCCTAGGGTGGGGGATGCCTTTCTATCTCAAGTGATGGATGACTCTTTGAAACTAGCCACAACTTTGACACAATTACATTAAGCAGGATGGACTCCTTATCGCTGGATGCAACAAAGATGTCACTGGAGGTGAAGGGTATGAATTCTCAGGGTCGATAGCCTCCCAGTAGAGCCTCCTAATGAACATCGCTAAGCGTTTCATGGCAGTTATTCCTAGTACACTCTGGTGATTTCATCTGTGACATGTGGCCTCATTAATGTGAGGTTTTGCTCTGCTTTCGTTTCAGGTCGTCAGAGCTGCTGAAGAAGCTGCTTCCACCCTGGCGAGTTCCATCCACCCCGAGCAGTGCATCAAAGTGCTTTGCCCCATCATTCAGACTGCAGATTACCCAATTAATTTAGCTGCCATTAAAATGCAAACAAAAGTCATCGAGAGAATTTCCAAGGAATCGTTGCACCAGCTCCTTGCTGATATCATTCCTGGGTTGTTACAGGTACAGAATCCCATGTCACAAATGCTCCTGAGCACAAACCAGGCTGATCCTTTCTTGTTTCCTCTCTGAAATGAAGACCCAACTACTTGCTGACTTCGTTCAGCCTCTTTCATAACCCTCTCAGGCTGGGTGGGGAGCTGTTTTTTTGGCAGCCCTAAGGCTCATCCTTGCATTGTGAATTTAGTTTTCAGTGCTGGCTGAAGCAGTGTTGTCTTCTGTTCCCCTGCACAAGCAGCTGGCAGTGCCAGCAGCCGGGATGAGGCTGCAAGCAAGAAGGAAATAAGAGGAGGTAGCAGAGAGGGAGGAGAGAGAATGAATGTGTGCTTACTGAGGAAGGGATTGCAACAGGAACAAATCACTCAGTGTGAAAGGGGAGACATGTCTGGGTGGGTAAAACTTCAGTGGTGAACTGGGATAAAGAAGCCTCCTCACTGTGAGTATAAAATGTTGGAAGGACAAGAGTAAAATCAGAAATTCCCCATGTGCATCTTGGCATTTGTCCCAACTTTGTAGTGTCAGCTCTTGCAATTCTTTTCTTAAATCTCAGCTTCTGGGAATCAGACAATTCTGTATGGATCTAAACTTCTTTTGTAAAAAGTTTTTAGCCATAATTGCTGGAGACGACAATTTGAACCATGGAGCTTCAAAGCACTGGAAGAGTTTGGGAGCAGCATGCCTTTAAAAACGCAGTTATATCTGTTTTATTAAATTGCTGCCATGTCTTAAAATGGATCTTTTTTTGGAGCCTAGTTTGACATTTTTCCATCTTGGAGCTACCTGACCTTAGAAATTCATGTTGAATGAAGGAATCTACTCCCTGTTTGGGAAGTATTTTGAGATCCTTCTGGCTGAAGGACTGGTTGTTTACTGTGCCGAGGGTATTGGTAGAGTGGAGAAAAGATGAGCATTGGAGGGCAGCCACATGAGCACGAATATGTGTAGCTCAGCAGCCTGGAGCGAGATGCCTGTGAGCAGATGGGAATGTCCATGCAAGACCAGGGCTTGGCTGGGGCAAGTCATGGTGCTTGCTGTGTCCCAGTGCAGAGCCTGGACTCCCTCAGAGCCAGGGGGGATAGAGCTGGGCCACGAGACGCACTCCCATGCACTGCATCAAGATACTCTCAAGCTGAAGAGACCTTTGAGCCTGTCATCTCCTATGTTATTATATACCAGGAGAAGAAGCAGCTGCTGCCTTGCAAGCAAGTTGGTACATGGAGAAGTGAGATGACAATTCTGCTGGTGCATATAGGCCAGGTTCTGCCAGCCCAGCCCCCTCATCACTGCATGGATCTGCCTGCTCCCATGGGAGCAATTTGAGATGCATACATAAGCAAAATGCTGGGCCCATAAGAAAACCTGAGGTCAAGCAGAGACATCTGAAGAGTTCAGGAGCCTTTGGATTGGGACCCACAGAGAGCCCTGTGTCCCAGCTGTCCTCCCAGCTGTGGGTTGTGTCTCTGGATGTTCCTCTGCTGTGAGCCTGGGCTCAGCTTTTTCCCACTCTTGACCCTCAGCAGTTTGGTGTTTGAGCTCACCTAGGTCTCCTGCTTTTTTAGTTTAGTGCTTTCTGGGACTGCACACTGTCATTTCAGAGTCTGTATTTTGACCCTGCAGCTAGAACATCAGCCCTACCAGCGAGCAGTCCCAGCCCTGCCACATCTCTTCTCCCAGCTTTCCCGGCAGAGGTCAGCCTGTGTCCAGAGCAGCCAGCATCCTGCAGGCTGGTGTCCCTGCTTCTCATGGGATGGTTGCTTAGTGACAAATCAGTACAGGCCTGATGTCACCAACTGCTGAGTGACTCGGTGCCTAACTAGGTTTTTGCAATTTCTAATGCCTTGATAAAGCTATTCTGTCCAAGAGGATATTTGGATAGAACATCTGTTCCCAAAACAGGATTCTGGTTTTCATGTCCTGAGGGACATAACCACCAGGCCGTTTTGCTGCAGAATTCATTTCTGTCTGTAACTTTGCTCTTGGGAGCAGAATTGGTCTCCTTTGGGTTAGATCTGGGTTAGGAGAGACTTCTCTGAAGGCAAGCTGAGAGCACAAGGGCTCCTGTCCAAGAAATCCTGACCATCCAGGATAACGTGTATGGTCATCTGAACTGAGCACAGAAGTGTGTGTATACTGGAGTCCTAAACTAATGCTGGGAAACTGGGTGTTGTTGCTAAATGCTATAAATAAGATATTAATAACTTATAACATTATGGTAATAATGTAAGAAATAGGATGACTGGGTGATTGTATTCTCTTGCTCTTCGAGTATTCAGGTTTTAAACTGTTACATTAAGCAGGGACATTCTGTTGATCTGCTAGGTCAGCTGCATTTACAAAATGTTCATCAGCTCTTTAGTATATTGCTCTGGAAGGATGTTAATGAGTGTCATTTGACTTCTGACCTTTTTTTTTTTCTCTAAGGGTTATGATAATACAGAGAGCAGTGTCCGTAAAGCTAGCGTATTTTGCCTGGTGGCAATTTATTCAGTAATTGGAGAAGAACTGAAACCTCATCTGGCACAACTCACGGGAAGCAAGGTACAAATAATTTTAAGTATGGTATTTTCGTAATAACCGACTGAATGGCTTGCACTATTAGCAGCAAGATCAGTTGCTTCCCAGTAGTTCTAGGTCAAGTTTTCTGTACTCTGTTAAATCCTATCTCACCCTGCTGAGCACCACTAGAACAGCACAGCACTTCCTCAATCGTGTGAGCATTTGGAATTCCACTGAGCAAGTTCAGGGATTGGTTTCATGACGTGTTTCGTCCTGTGTAACTGCAAGCTGCCACCAAGTGGATCCTTCCCACTACAGCCATGTTTACCTTGCCCCTTCAGCGTTGCACCCAGGGGTGACTGTGTGGTGAGTTGGATCAGCTGGCAGCTCTGGCTGAAACCCAGATCTGCAATGAAAGCTAATTCATTTGCAATCTGCTCTGAGGCTGCACAGGTCAATGCAAAGAGTGGTAGGAATGAATGACAGGGATGGGTGGGAGAGCAGGTCCTCTCAGCTGCATGTTGTGGTTAGGGCTCGCAGAAATGCAGCTGAAGCTTCGCTCTTGGCACAGCAGATGTGTCCCTTTCCTCCTGGGACACCAGCAAGCTTAAGTGACCCTTTAAAAGACTCTGTGCCCTGAAGTCAGGTTAGTAGCAAAACTCAGTCTGACCTGATGCTGCAAGTGAAACCAAGTCCTAATTCATCTCTGTCCTTCAGACAAGAGCTGGCGTTTTGTGTTGAGGCAGGTGGTGTTTGATTGCTTTTCAGAGGTGCTCAGGAAGCTGTAACAAGATACTGTCTCCTGTTTCAAGTCATCATGCCCAAGATTTCTCTGCAATTTTAAGATGATTTCTGCATTTTTTTTTCTGAAATAGATCTCTGCGTGTGAATAGCTGCTTAGTTCAAAGGGGTTCACTCTGTTATTTTGAAGCAGTAATGTCTTTCATGGGTAGGAAGTGTGGTGTAGACCAAAACAACCTGAGACTGAGGACACTTGGATTTTGTTTCTGAATTAGTTGCCTTGTCCTTAAACAAATTACTTGTGCCCACCAGTAATTTGCTCTGGAAAGAGACAGCTGTGGGTGCTGAGGTACCTCATTATATGTAGGCAGTTAGGAAATCCCCTTATAAAATACTGTAGCGACTTTATTATCCCAGTGTCCTAGGTGCCATGAACTTACTCCACCACATAGCTAACTATAAATATGTGAGTAATTCTGGGTTTACGCAGACTGCCTGCGTGTTTAAAGTTAAATCTATGCATGAGTCATTGCAGGATCTGGAGCTAAGGTGGTAAGGCAGAAAAAAAAGAAAAGAAAAAGGCAAAGGAGTATGTGGTCATAAGAGCTGCAGTTTCAGTAGATGTGCTAGTTAGTGAAGATATTTAAATGTCATTGAAAATGAACATGATAAAGCATGGAGAGTTCAGGGTGTTTCCTAGGAGGGACTGTGGCTCTCAGATCACCAGTGTGCCTGCAGCCCTGCTGACCTCTGAGAATCCTGCTTGTCCAGAGCAGGCTGCAGAACCAAGATCTGTGAACTGATGACTGCTGAGGTTTTTCTGAACCCCGTTAAATCTGTTTGTAACTTCAGTGGCACTAGGCGTGCCCTCCTGCCTCTGTCTGTTCTGAAATGTGCTCAGCTTTGCCTCTGTTTTTCCTCCAGAGAGCCCGGTGTCAGCTCACTCAAACCCAGTGCGAGTTTTAAGATGTGCAGCTGACTTTTGTCTGCCTGTTTTTCCTGGCATCCTCTCCTGATGTTTGTTTGTTTCTTTCAGATGAAGCTACTGAACTTGTACATAAAGAGGGCCCAGACCACCAACAGCAACAGCAGTTCCTCTTCAGATGTTTCAACGCACAGTTAATGGAGATATGTGGACATATGTGTAGACTTAGAAGCAATCAACGGTGCCTCTCAGAGACCTTTCTGCTACTCTTCACTGGCGTGCTCCATCGGCTCAAGGAGGCCATGCAGATATTTATTGCAATCAGTATTTTAGTCCCTTGAAAGCTTTTATGTAGAATCTTACTGGTATTGAATGTAAAGGAAGCAAGGTCTATGTTGCAGTCTTCATTAAAAGTGAACAACAGAAAGCCATACTTAAACATATTTGTATAGCCTGCTGAAATCTCAGAAATATGTTTAGGTTAGCGTTCCAAAACAGAGTCCAAGAACCTGGACACACGTAAAGGTCAAACAAATCTTGTTGGTTTAGTTCCTACCCAGTTTTTGTTTCTGTGTGCTAGTTACCTGCTCTCTCCCCGCAGCCGTTCTGGCTAGGTTCTCCTCTTCTTGCAAGTCTTGTGGTCCTGTTTTGTACTCCCTGTTGCAGCTTGCCTGACATGCAGGGCTCTCTGTGGGGAGATCTTTGCAGATGTGGCTGTGATTGCAGCCTCAGATGCTTTAATACTGAGAGATATCAAGTGAGTAATGAAAAAGTAGGTTCTTTTTAAACATCTGAGTTTTTGTACATAGTTCTTCTGACAGACCTCCGATGGGCTGATTTCTCTGTAACTGCTCTCCAGCCAGCTGTGCAAAACAGCTGGACTCTTTTCATTGACTGTGTAAATATTTCTCCCTCCCCAATCCATTTGGCTCTTTCATACACATAAAAGACTCTCCAGGTTACTTCTCACTCCCCTGAGGGAACCCGAGACACAATTCTGGGACTGGTGCCTGCGTGTAGGACACTGGAGTTAGGTGGGTGGGTGCTGGATTAGGTTCTGAGTGTGTCTGCAGGTGGGCAGTGGGAGCTGGCAGGGCTGTGTCTCAGTGCTGCCTGCTGATACCAGCTGCCTTTTTCTTGAAGTCTGTAGCATCAAAGGGCTGAAGAGCTGCTCTGCCCTGCCTCACTGGTGTTGAGTGGTGAAGGGCTTTGTCCCCACAACTCCTTTGTGCTTTGGGCAACTTGTCCATCCCAGAGGACAGAAAGGGGGTCTGAAACTGAGCAAAAAGACCCCGTGGAAGCACCTGCTGAGGGAGCTGGGACAGTACTGCCTGCCTGCCACAACTGCCCTCCTGTGCCTGAAGAGCCTGCAGTGCTGTCTAGATGCCTTTAGAAACCTCCTCCTTCCTGGCCAGCCTCACGCGTGGCCCTGCTGGGTGCTCTGCACTTCGGAGGGGTGCGAAGGGCCCTGGGCTGTGCCCTGCTCTCAGCAGGGTGCTCTGGATGAGGGTGCAGAGAGGCAGATTCTTTTGCAACTTGATGACACCGCGCAAGTCAGAGCCAAACCAGCAGCAAGTACCCCATGGTACCACCCTTCCCCAAAGGGAGACCTTTCTGTTTGCAAAGGGAGGGCTCCCCTTGCCTCTTCCTGTGACTCGGGGAAGCAGGAGGGTACTAATGCTGTGTTTGGCCCTGGGCTGGATTCTGGCTGACAGGCATGCCCACCCTAAACCTGCAATGGATCAGAACTGTGGCAGTGATGCAGGAGGATGGTGGACCTGCAGCTTGGGGCTGCAGCTCTGGAGATGGATGTGTGCTCCCTGGGTGCTCTTGGTGCCTCAAGTCTCTCTCCAGCCCCCTCCATTTCCCCTCTGGGGAGCTGGAGGGGCACCTCGGTAGCACACTGAGAACATGATGGTTTCCAGTACTGCAGTGGGGAGGGTAAAGCCCTGTAGTCCTCCCTTTCTGTCATTTCTTCCCTGTGTGTCTCAGCCTTGGCCCTGAGGAGCTGTGCTGGGAGGTGGTGCTTGGCGCCAGCTCCCATCCCAGTCCCCAGCTGAGAAGGGATCGGGGCTGTGCGGGATTCAGCTGTAAAGCTAGTCAGTCCCTTTCCCTGCTGATGTGAGATCAGAGGAGGTGACCTGCTCCTGAGTTCGTCAGGATGTGTCCAGGCTTTTGCTGGCTGCAGGGCTGGTTCCTTCATCTTTCCTGATGAGTAATGCCATGGCAGGAGAAACCATACGATCCGGGTGGGTGGGATTCCCCCAGGGTCTTTCTGCAGGCTCAGAAAAGCCATCCTCACTAGACAGAGGGTTGGCTGTGCTCCATGGTGGTTGTCTCCCTTTCCGTGGACCATTTCTTTTCAACATCATTCAGTAAGCTTGTTAGAATATTCTTTTTTAAAATTTTTTTGATGATTCAAATTACTTTAGTTTAATGCAAATTTATTTTCCCTTTTGAGGAAATATTCAGCCGACTCGTTGGCAGCAGTTAGCTGTCTTGTTTGAACTTTTAGTAGTGGGTTTATTATTTTGTTGAGGTTTTGGGGGGAGGTTGGTTGGTTTTTTGGTTTGTTTGTTTTTTTTAAATTTGTGCTTTAACTGCTTAAGATTTATGCCTCTCTCTCTCTCTCTCTCTCTCTCCCCCCATCTCAGTTCAGCATCTTCTGTTCCGATTCTGGGGTTCAGAAGGTCAGCACAGCTGACCAGATGATGATTAGTCCCTCCCAGCTGTGATGGAGCTTGGTCCATCACCATTTGCCCTTTGTTTGTTTGTTTGTTTTTTGAATGGCGCACTGTAGCAAATCTCCAGGAATTGAATTCCTTCTCAAATGATTTTATATATTTTATAAAATCCTGTTAGTATGCACTGAGAGTGAACGCACTGTAATGTCCCCGAACTGACCCTGGCGCTGACACCGCGGCAGGAGCGAGCGGCTCCTCCTT